CCCTGCCAGCCCAAGGCAGTGGGATCCTGCCAGCTGGAGGATGTTGGGCACCACAGCCCATGTGCTGGGGGGGTAGATTTGCACCTGCACAAGGTCTTTGGTGCAATAAGATCTCGGGTGACCAGGAGAGCAGGGCTGAGATCCCCCGGGGTCCTCGTGCTCTGGATGAGCATAAAATAGGGAATGGCCCATATCCAGATTATCCCTGGACTGCAGTGATGTCCTTAGCAGAGTTTTAATTCAGACCTGGAACTGATTATCTCCTTGATGGTGTTGATTTCCTTTTCCTTGAATTTAAAATTGAGGATCATTAGTGAAACGAGTCTGAGTGGGACATGAGGATCAACTTCACTGTTTAAACTTTCAAACCTCTCTCAAGTGGGTTGGAATCACTTGATATTTAGTTTAGTTTATACTATAGATCAACTTCACTTTTTTTTTTAAACTTTCATCCCTTAATCAAGTGGGTTTGAATCATTTGATATTTGATTTTATTTTTTTTTCTCTTATGCAATTTTTGACATTTTGGTCAGTGCGTGAGGATTTTCACAGGAAACCTTCCTGTGACTGGTTTGTAGATTGGGAATTTCTGAAAAACTGTCCAAATACTTTCAAGATTAACTGTTTCAATTCCTGCCTGTACTATATTTTCATTAGAACAGATCAGTTTTTCAAGGTGAACTATTTTCAGTGAAAACCCTCAGTTGTCACAGGTAAAGTTATCCTTTTACTCCTTGGAATGCTGAGGAGTTTAAATGCAAAATTCCAGGCTATTCCAGATAAAATTTGTATTTGTGTTAATGGAGAAAAGAAATCTTGAGAAAAATATTATGGTTTTATTGTTATTTATATTCTAAATTTTTCAGGGATGTCCTCCCAGTTAATTAAAGAAGTGACTTATATATGAGTGAATACTCTCTGTACCACAACTCATCCCAAAGACATTCCTTAGGGAACTCAATCTCCTGAGTATAAACCAATCCTGAAGGTTCTTTAATAACTCACCATTCACTGGAAAATAAAAGTGATTTAAATCACCATTCACTGGAAAATAAAACCCATTAACTGTGTTGCTGTTGTGAGAGCTCAGAAGGCAGATTTTTATATGGAAATTATTAAGTGAATTCAACAAACCAGCAAACAAAATAAAACAGAAGTGACTTTTCAGATTAAACTTTTTAGAGTCCCATTTAAAGGCCTTCTTGTTTCTTAACCTTTTAATATCTCAGTTAGATGGATAAAAACAGGAAAACAGTAAGTGGTGTATAGACCTTAAATATCTGCCACTGCAGGTAAGTTTGGACAGAGATCCCCAAACATTTCCAAGTGTTGCTCCTTCCCAAGGGAATATTTGGGGCTGTTAGTTCTGGGTCCCACAGTGTATATTTTCACATGTTTTCCTTCTTTTTCTCCAGGAGCTGAGAGAAATCCATAACAAACAGCAGCTCCAGAAGCAGAAGAGCTTGGAAGCTGAGAGGTTGAAACAGAAGGAACAAGAAAGGAAGACAGTGGAGCTGGAAAAGCAAAAAGAAGCTCAGAGGTAACAAAAGGCTTTAATCTGAGCCCTTAATTTAAACCTTGACACCTCTCAGAAAAATTCCTGTCAACTCAAAACTTCAGGGATTGAGATGAGATTTGTGCCCTCTGGTACCAACCTAATGCTGGGAAGGTGGGTGGGTTGGACAGGAGGAGGAATTCCCTCCTGGAAAGGGTGGTGAGGCCTTGGCAGGGGCTGCCCAGGGAGGTTTGGAGTGCCCAACCCTGGAGGTGTCCCAGGAAGGCCTGGCCGTGGCACTCAGTGCTCTGGGCTGGGGGACAAGGTGGGGATGGGGCACAGGGGGGATCCATGGGCTGGGAGGGCTTTTCCAGCCTCAGGGATCCTGGGATTCTGTGAGGAGCTCCTGTGAGGAGCAGCTTCTTCTCCTGCATTTGTCCCTAATTTCGTAAGTCTGAAGAAAGCCCAGAGGTGGAAAAAGGTCATGGAACAAACCAAAGCACAGTGGGCATGTTTTATATCTTCAGAGTTACCTCTACTGGGGAAAATTGTTTCTAGCAGAGCACATTTACCCTTTCCTTCTGTTGTCTTGTCCTCTGTTAGCTCTGGCAGTTTGGGAATGTGGAATACTCTGGATGGTTCTGCAGAGCTGTTGTGTGAAGCTTCCAAATGTGTTTCCCCCTTGCCCCTCAACAGCAAGATGAGAAGTGTCACATGTTCTGATTCCTGCTTTTCCCTTCTCATTGGGCTATTCTGAGTCCTACTTAGGGATGTTTGTGGCCTTGGGTTGGAGTGAGATGATATTTAAGGTCCCTTCCAACCCAAACCATTCCGTGATTCTGTGATCCCACGAATAATTGTGTAAGGAGATGCTGGGGAGGGGCTGGTGACTCCTCAAAATCAAATTAGCTCTTCCAGGGAATGGAAAAGCCCCGCAGAGGACCCTTTGTGCCATAGATCACCCCAAAGGACAACTGACTGGGATGGTCTTGGGTTTGAGTGGCTTAAAAAAACCCCACCCTGGTTTTCCAACAGGCGAATCCAGGAACGGGACAAACAGCGGCCGGATCGGGGGCAGCCGGAGGAGGAACCCCAGTGGCAAAAAAAAATTCAGGAAGATGAAAAGCAAAAAAGGGAAGAAATGCCTAAGAAGAAGGAAAGTGAGGAGAAGGGGAAGCAGGAAATGCAAGAGAAGCTGAGTAAACTTTTCCAGCCCCACCAGGAGCCAGCCAAGCCAGGCCAGGCTCCCTGGTCCAATGCAGGTAGGGTCAAACACCAGGAATGCTGGTGGAGAGCCTCTGGAACAGCTCTTTTCTGGCTTCCCATTTATTACAGGGGGATGTTATGTTTCAAGACTGGATTGCTAGTCTTAGTGAAGTAAATAATGGGCAGATTGAGCTCTAGACTCCAAAAATTGTCCTTTTAGGCATCACTATTGTCCCTCAAAGTCTGGGGTTCAGCAGAGTGTAAAGCACAGGATGAGATTCCCAGTGCCAAGTGAGGAGAGATTCTCAGCTGGAAGGGGTTGGAAGATCCTGATGCAAGATGTCAGAAATTATTTCTGTGTTTCCTTATTTTGCTGTGCAAAATGTGCCTTGGGGGTTGTTAGAGCAGCACCAACGTGTCCCGGGGTTCCCCTGGTCCCTCTCCTGCCTCCCCCAGGAATGTTGTTCACTGATAAAATGACCCGAAGTCTAAGATTTAATCCCCCTCTTTCTGCTCTGCACACAGTCCCTTTTTGTTTCCATTTGTGCAGGGAGCAGAGGGCACTTTTATGACTAAATCCTGC